CCCAAGCCGTCAAGCTCCTCATATCGCCAGTCTCAAAAAAAAACAAACAAAAAAAACAGAGCGTTGCAACCCACACCCCTCCACAGAAGATCGGGGGTCGGGGCGACGCTCTCTGTCGGGGTCTTCTAGACCGAAAACGGATCTGCGGACCGTTATTTTGTCTAAGAGGACCTCGGCTAAACAGTCCTACCATTGTCAGGTCCCTGAGGGCAGCCCCACCTGGGGAGGAAAGGATAACACCTCAGTATACGGTGCCCAATCCTCCTCAGTGAAGGTTACGTATGTAACCATGGTTCCCCGAGGGAACGAGACGCTGCGTCTCTTTGCCATACTCCCTGCATCCCTCCAGGCGTTACTTCATCGAAGCTGGTTTGCGCTCTGCCGGATGCGCTTTTATACTTTCTGGTGCTTACGTCACCCCGCTCGTGACGTCTCGCTACTCAATTGGACTGATTTGACAAGTGCTTCAGAACGCGGTCACGCAGGGGCGTTCCCCCCAAAGCGATTTCGACCCAGCGTCTCGTTCCCTCGGGGAACCATGGTTACATACGTAACCTAGAGACTTTTTCAAATGTGTTTCTATTTTGACAACAAATAATACATCATATGATTAGAATAAACGATTATTAATTCATGAACTAAGTGCACTCAGAATGCTATGTAAGCCTGTTTCCACAACTGAAAAAAAAAAAAAAAAGGTAATTGCGACTTTTCACCTGAAAATTCTTACTTTTCTTACATTCTTACTTTTTTCCTTGCAAATCTGACTTTTTTCTCAGAATTACATGATAGAAACTCGCAATTGTGAGTTATAAAGTCAGAATTGCAAGGTTTAAAGAAAACAGTAAGTCTTATTTTTCCTCAGAATCGGACTTTATAACTCACAATTATGGGTTTTTATCTCACAATTCTTAGAAAAGCTGGAATCACAAGATATAAATTGGCAATTATGAGAAAAAAGTCAGAATTTTGAGATAAATTTTCACAAGATAAAAAGTCAGAATAAAAGTTGCAATTACTTTTTTAAAATTGTTTATGAATTGGTGGAAATTCCATAGAATTCCAGTTAATTGAATGTAGGCAAAGAAAAATCATTTTTTCTGCTCACAAAGAAACAACACAGGCACATTGGAAATACATGCCTCTACCTACATTTTTTCAAAATGTCAAAAACTTACCTATACTTACAATTCACTGCAGTTTCCAGCTGAAATAAACACTAGTAACAGTAAAACACCAACAGCTTTTATTCCTTTTCACACAAATTATGATTACAGGGACAGATTAGATTAATAAAGACTTATTTTCGTATGGTTATTTGCACAATATAAAGTTATAACCTCATAACACTTTTACCATAGTGCATGATTTGTAAACTAATATATTTTGATGTTAGCATCACATTACCAGCTCAACATATAACTTTTCTGACAAACTTGCTCGATAGCTCACCCGGTGCAGCAGGAGCACTCAGGTGCAAGTCCTATGAAACACCATTCATAAAAGAGCTCAAAGCCTCAAGCAAATGTGTTTTTCATCCCACATTTACTTTTTGTTAACACTAAACATGCAAGAAGCAATGTAATATCATTTGGTGAAAAGGTTTTTCCAATGAGCCTGGGTTGCAGTCAAATTAACGCCTCTTAGGTCTGTTAAATATCTACAGGAGACGGATATGCATGAACTTAAACTTTTCCCAACTCAACAATGGCACGCATCAACAGATGCTTTGTCAAAACTAATCGCTGTCAGTGTGAACACTCTTGAGTAGTTTTCACATTAGGAGCAAGGCATGCACAACACAACATGATACGGTAGGAGGCACACTCACAGAACACACCATGACACAGGATTTATACTATAGGAAATACAACAGACAGCACATAGATTGGCCATACACCAGTTACAGTTGCTCATGAACTTAATGGTCATTTTAACAGGTCTCAAAAGATTCTGATATTTCTAAAGAAACAGAAAGCATTACGATTTCAGCTCAAAGTCGATTTAAACAGGAAAGCAGGCTCACCTCTTCTTCCTCCCAGTCAATCAAATCCCAGTCGTATGTTAGCTCCGCCCTTCTCCTCTTCCAGAACTCAAGGAATACTGTGGCTGTGATAGCACAAGAGGAAGTGGTAAGACGTCAACACAACAAGAGCTTTCAGATATTTAAAGTTACCAGGCTCACCTAGGTAAGGTGACTAAAGAAGGTCATCTTAGGCCCAAACATACTCAATGCACATACATGAAAACAAGCGCTTTAACTATGCAAGCTCAATTTCAGGTATCATTAGGATCATAAATCTCCTTGCCGAAAGGAACGCTCTTGTGGGCATTTGCATAGTCGTTTTCTAGGTCAATTACTGTCAATAACAACTGGTGAGGAAGTTTGTTGAAGTTCAACATGTTTATAGCCCATTTAATCCCATTTGTGTCCAAAGTTTCGAAGGGTCTAAAAGATGTTATTGATGTATTCTGTCAACGGAACATAAAAGGACTGACTGCTTATAAATGCATGTGGAAGATTTTTACATGTTGTAAATAGTCACATGACCAGAGCTGTTTTGTATTTCCGTATATGAAAGATGATGCTGTGTTCAAAAGTTCAAAAAATCAATATGAAAAACCTGATATAATATAGATACAACTCCCACATTTGGTTCATATGACATTTAATGCAATGGTTCTCAACCAGGGAGCCAGGGCCCACAATGGGACTGTGGCAAACTTCAAAGGGGAACCTAGTCCTAAAATTATTAAAATGATTTAAATTTAGTTATATTAACAATCTTAATTAAAATGCAAAATCAATCAATCAATCAATCAATAAAACAGATGTACAAATTCAAAAATTCATTTTTATTTTATTTATTTTTTATTATTAAAAGTACATATTAGCTTATACGAAGGCCTTTAAATGTTGTCTTGAACATAGGCAATTCTTTCATTTCTCCACTCCACAAGTGTTGTTGTTTCAGATACTTTTGTCTTTTCCATGCAGATTGTTGGTTTCATGAAGTTGCACCAAAATAGCCCCACAAGACTGGATATAATAACATCTTAGTGCATGTGTAATCACAGATATATGTTCATCAACATTTTACACCAGCTTTGAATGTGCAACCAATCAGGATTTTGGATTAGAACTATCCATTTTATAATTTTTCATCTCACTGGTAGACATTGAGATTCTGTTTAGCTTGCAGAATGTAATCAGCTAGCTTATTCAGAAGCATTCATTTTTTTCTTAATATCACAGGAACCGATTTAGGCACTAAAAAAGAATACTAAATAAATCAAAGTAAAAATAAGATAAGTTCTGTGAGGTTTTCATGTTAAATTTAACTGTTAAAATAGAGCAAAAACATCTGGACTCTCTGAGTTCACATGCCCCTCGTTTCTACCAAAGGACTGTGTGACCCACTTTTGTTGAAAGCAAAAGAGCTGCAAGGGAAGAAACAGAGTGAAAGACCAAGAAGAGAGACAATGTTTAATTTTTAAAGCCCAGTCTTCTTGCTGAAAGTTGTCTTCACATTTGAGCTCTCAGGATTTAGACTTGCAGATCCATCTGGGTCTCTGTGGCTGGAACAGTACCAAGTACAGATACCAAACCAGTATCTTTGTCTTCAGAAGCCGCATGTGTTTGCAAGCAAGCTGTCTGTGTGTATGACTGTATGTGCATACTCAATCCACCTCAACATACTCTACAGTGGTTGGTATGTGCAAGAACGATTAACCGGGGGTGTAAAAGACCTTGTGGGCTATCTCTGCTTAACTGGACTTCAGTCTCAATGATATGTAACACTGCAAGTTGTCATAGGATATATAGTCAGATATCCATGCTCTTTCAATCGCGTAAATTTTGCATTTACATTCCATCTCTGTTATCACGAAACACACGACACACAACAAAAATAGCTCAGATCACGGCGTCCTCTATTCACCGGTTGTTGATGTCTGTAAATGCCACGAATAAAGACGTCACTGTTGGCTGCTTCAGAATTCCTGCTGCTGGTGCGAATGCAACCAGGAAAATGGCCTGAAGGTGAAATTGGTTCTCGAGGAACCATCATGCTGGGGTGCGTTTCCCGTACAATGACGTATCTTCTTCATTCATAAGTTCTTACTTAAATTAGTACGTTAAGTCCACACTAGAGGCTTAGTAACTTCTAGCTAGTTTGTAACTAAATCTATACATTATTTGGTTGCACCAGTTGTTCGTAAGGCAAGTAGTTTGCAAACGCTCTGTAAAGTAATGCATAGTCGCATAATATGATGTTTACCCTAATCATCCAATAGAAACCTTCAAATACTTCAAATACAATTAGAACTTGTTTAAATGCTATGAATTGTATTTTATCCTTCATTCTAACTTATTTTGCCTCATGTATACTAACGGTAAAAATATAAACAAGTTTCCATAAAAAACTATACATTACTAACATTAGTCTATATGTAAGCTATTTTTATATGTATATGTGAATGTAAATAACATTCAGAAACTGTAACTGAAATAAATAAGGATCAATAAATACTGAAAGAAAAAAAAACATAACAAATGCCATTTATTTATTATTTCATCTGACATGCACAACACGGACCGAAGCGCACAGAGGCGTGCTGTAGATGGGGTGTTGACGCGCTAAAAAAGAAACAAAGTACGTTTATTCACATATTGTTCTCTCTCTTAATATGTACATGAGTGTAAATGTCAGCAGCATCATATATGCCTAAAGGATTGAAGGTTGTCGGGTAAAAGAAGAGTATATTGATGCAGTTCGCTCAGTCTGCTATTTTATTCCAACTGTTACTCCTGACCAGACACTTCCGTAAATATTTAGTTTATACGTAGAGTTACACTTCAACTACGTGTAATGGTGCAACGAAAAAATATTTAGTAGTGCGTAAGTTGTAACTTAGTTGTAACTTAGTGCCCATTTACGTCAAAACATAGAATTGTTGAACTATGTTGGTAACGATGGAACTTGTGACCATAGTTGGCTAACGATGCTTAACGATGGTTCCCCGAGGGAACGAGACGCTGTGTCGGAAAACGCTAGGGGAACGCCTTCAGCGATACCAAGCTCTGAATCATATGTGTAATCAGTCCAATCGATGGGCGAGACGTCAGAGGCGGGGCGAACGTAGACCTCCCTGGTGGTTGATATAAAAGACCACCGCTGTGTTGTCGGTGCGCACCAACACTTGGCGATCTCTTAGGTCTGGAAGAAAGTGTTTGAGGGATCAAAACACGGCCAGCATCTCCAGGCAGTGGATGTGCCACGTGAGATGGCGACCACTCCACAGACTGCGGGAAGGGTGGCCACTCATGACCGCTCCCCAACCGGTGAGGGACGCGTTTGTTGCTAGCGTTACGCGGCAACAAGGAGCAGGCTTGCTTCAGACTGGCTAGTGCTAGGGTCTGATTTATGAACATCCTGTTGTCTTGGGCCTCTGTGGAATTCGGCTCCTCATGTTTCAACCATGTTTTGACCAAATCTTAAGATTGTCTGATTCGGTCTGATATCCTACAACGCGATCTGCTTTCGCCCTTGTTTGTCTTTACTTTAGACATCTTATTTTCTGTTGGAGCTTTATACTTTCTTTGCTGAATGCTTGTGTAACTTTTGGACAGACAACAATAAATAAGACTCACAGAACATAGATCGTGACCGACACACACAGAGAGCTTTGCTGAATGACAGAAAGCTAACGCCGGCTGCACCTCACGTGCTTTTAAAGCTTCCTGGTCATGACGTCACCCGCCTCTGACGTCTCGCCCATCGATTCGACTGATTACACATATGATTCAGAGCTTGGTATCGCTGAAGGCGTTCCCCTAGCGTTTTCCAACGCAACTCGAGTTCCCGAAGGGGAATCATAGATTCTGGTCTCCAAACCAATGTTGCTGAAACAATTCTGAGTTCCACAGTCCACCAGGAGGTCTTAAGTCCTGAAATGGGGACTCTTTGCATCATAGTGCGAGCAGCACCACCTGAACCCAGTCAACTGCCCTATTAGTTCAGTGCTGGAGTTCCTTCAGGATTGCCTGTCAACAGGTTTGACCCCTGCTATGCTAAAGGTCTTTGTGACTGCAATTTCAGCTTCGCCTATAATGGATTAAGGCCCACTCCACTAGGAGTGTTGCATCTTCCAAGACTCTTGGCAGGGGTGCATCCTTACAAGATGTTTATGCCACTGCAGGATGGTCCTCTCTGTGCACATTCTTTATAGACTGGACTCGGATTCATCCCCAGGGTCTTAAGCCCTTGTGCTATTCACAGCCTTGTGTGGCAGGCACTATTCCGTGACATGGTGGCGACATGGTGAATGAGATGCCACATCACACAGCCACGCCCCAGCCATGCCTGTGCATCTTCTTCAGACAATTAGAATCTGATGAAACTGGTTTGGCATGTATTTATGGTTTCAGTGACATATTATGTTACACACTACGTCATCACGCTCAGTGATTTCAACCGACTGGCCGAGGCCAGCCTACAAAGACACTCAGGACAGTTAATGGGCTACTGCGGCGTGTCGTCGTGAAAGCTTATCAATTGCACGTGTTTTTAAGCCTTGCCAGTTTAAACATTCAAAAGATTATAAAGCATTCAAGCAGAAGATGTGAAAGAACTCAATTGAGTACACGAGTGCTGTATTCAGTGCACACACAGAGAGCCGTGTCTCACAGACAACGTGCAAACACCGAACCGAGCTCTCCTTCGTGTCCTCTTGCGCCTGAATGAACAAACACACCTAGCTAGTTTAAACATACAAACACAAAAATATGCAAAAAGCTTAATTCAGCACCCACATGCTGTGTTCTGTGTGCACAGAGAGCCGTGTCTCTCACCCCTTGAACACCGAATTGAGTTTTGCCTCTTCTTGCTCTTCAGCCGACAAATACGTTTTGTTTATGTCGGAATACCGGTCTTGGTGAGTATCCTTATAAAAACTGTTGGTTAGGTTATGTCTTAAGTGAACGTCAAGAGTTGAGAAAGAAATCAGATGTGAATCATTACATTGGATTTATTGTCTCTTAAAGAGGCTGTGCCTAATTTACTTCGTGCTGTCTGTGTCCATAATGTTAATCCAAGAAATTAAATGAGAGAAAATCACTCACAGCTCTTTACTGAATTACTTTGTAGTTTTAACAATAATTAATCTATGTTTAATGTAAACATTGAAGACTATGCAGTGATATTTTACAATTGATTATTATCAGTTTCTGTACCTGGACACCTACAAACTTGAAAAAAAAAAGCATTTGTTTAATTTGTATCTGTGTTCTATTTATTTATTTGTTATATTTACACAATTTCAAACAGGGCCCACGGGTACAACCTGCACCGGGGCCCCGCAAACCCCAGCTATGGCTCTGACTACAGTCAGTAAGGTTTTTGAGTTAAAAGTGCCAATAAGGTATTCCAGCATGCATATTTATGAAAAGAAAGAGGCTGTCAAGTGATACAAGAGAAATAACCGTTTTGTTACCAGAGACATTAAAATATATATATAT